CAGCCATTCGCTGAGCAGGGCTCGTCGTCGCTGCGCGTCACGTGACGGCCGTCGCGATCGCAACAGGTTCAGCCGGTCGGCCACCGCCCTCTGCCGTAGTCATATGGCTGGCTCAGAAGGCCAGCCGTCACCCATGCAGGGCTCGCCCTGTGCACGGGCCTCTGCCAACAACACCCAGGTATTCTACGTCGACCACTGTCGCCGGGACATAGGCCGTCTGCCGCTCTCGCCGTCGAGGGCTGCTGTCGGTCGGAGTAGCAGCGCGCCATCGTCTCGGCGCATTGTTCGCAAAGCCGGCGTCACCAGGGAGTCGGTCCTCACAATGCTCCCCCGTGCGGCAACTCAGTTCGGAGCTCGAGCTAGCTGCCCAGGACCTGCGGCACCCGAGGTGCGATGCACGGAGGGCTCACAACTCCCTGGTCCGCGGGGCGCGGTCACTCAGTCCGGACACAGCTCTCCCGCCAGTGCGGAGCCACACGAACCTCAAACAACGTCCCCGTGGCGTCACGCAGTCCGACTCCACAGCCTGCCCAGCGCCTGGCGGAGCCCAGCGTCTCACAAGCTCCCCCGTCGTTACCCGGCGGGTCGCCGTACGGGGAGACGGCACTGGTACGGACGCTCGGCCGCAGCCGTTCAGCGGGGGGAAAGAGGGAGGGTAGGGGCCCGTGTCGGGGCAGACACTCAATCACGCGAGTTGACGAACGACATTACGATACGAATATCGTTCCTGGGCCGCCGAGCAGCTGAAACGTCGAGCGGCGCCCGAAACCCAGGGGAACTGGAGCTACAATCAGCAGATTGACATGTGCCGGCCGGACTCTCATACGAAGAGTGAGAGCGTGGCGCGGTTCTTAGAGCGGAGGTGTGAGCGAGAGTACTACGAGCGCTAGCATTTCTTTCTGTCGCGCGCGTCTCACATAAAATACCATACACGCTTCATTTACTATGTGCTTGTTGGTTAAGGTATGCGTGAACGCTGACACACATTCAAGGGGGAACGGTAGTATAGGGCGAGGAGAGGCGAGGAGGGGGCGGTGGCGGTTCGCCGATGTTCGAAGCGAAAATTCCTGGACCGCTATATATCGCGTTGTTAGTGTGTGTAGTGTGTCTGTGTGTGTGTGTGTGTTGTGTGTGTGTGTGTGTGTGTGTGTGTGTGTTGTGAGTGTCGTAGTTTCGTAGTGCGTGTGCGTGTGCGTTGTGCGTGTAGCGTGGAGTGTGGCGTGGGTGGTGTAACGTGCGTGTGCGGTGCGTGCGTGGCGCGCTCGCGGTGTCGTGCGTGGCCGTGTGTGTAAGTGTGTGTGGGTGTGTGTGTGTGTGTGGTGTCGGTGCCTCTGTTGTGTGTGGTGACCTGTGTGTGTGTGATGTGAGTGTGGTGCCTCTGTAGTGTAATGTGTGTTTGTGTGTTGTGTGTGTGTGTGTCGTTGTGTTGGTGTTGTGGTGTGTGTGTGTGTGTGCCTCTGTGTGTGTGTGTGTGTGTGTGTGTGCTGTGTGTGTGTGTGTGGTGTGTGTGAGTGTGCTTCTGTGTGTGTGTGTTGGTGTGCTGTGTGTGCTGTGTGCCATTTGTTGTTGTGGGTGTGTTGTGGGTGTGTGTGTGTGTGTATGGTGTGCTGGTGTGTGTGTAATGTGTGTGTGTGTGTGCTGTGCTGTGTGTGGTGTGTGTGTGTGTGTGTGTGCTGTGTATGCTTCTGGTGTCGCGCGCGAACCGTGCGATGCGTGCATGCGTTCGGCGGAGGTGGGAATGTGTGCCATGTGATTGGTGGTGGTGTGTGTGTGTGTGATGTATGTAGTGCGTTGCGTGGCGTGGCGTGCGGGGTGCGTTCTCGTGCGTTGTGTGTGTGTGTGTGATGGCATTGGTGGAGTGGTTGTTGATGCTTTGTATTGCGTTGTGTGACAGGTGTGTGTGTGTGTGTGGGTGGTGTGTGGTGTGAGCGTGTGGGTGTGTGTGTGTGTGTGTGCTGTGGTGGGTGTTAGGGTGTTGATGGCGCGTGGGCCGTGTTGTGCGTGTGCGTGTGTAGTGATGTGGGGGGGGGGGGGGGGGTCTTTCTCTTTGGTTATTTCTCTCTTATATGTGTTATACCGCGCGTGCCGCGTGCTTTTAACCAACCACAAATTTTAATAAAATCTTCGAACTGTTGAGGCTGCGTATTTTTGTATAGTGAAATCGATTGACGAATTGTATTCAATTTCGCAAGTTGAAATCGGTGAGAATGTCTTATGCACGAAGCCTGGGCGCAAGCGCCAAGTCGTCTAATCGTCTGCCTTGTGATCTCTACGGCTGCTTTTTATAATGGGTTTCATCAATCGTCGATATCGTTCGATTTAATTAGACACATTTAGCTTCAATAGCGCAGGTCACATATTGCGATAAACCTTTGGACGTGTTGAATACATCTCTCTAAAGTGAAAGTATTACACTAAGTAAACCTAACCCTTAACATCTAACCCTAACCATAACCCTAACTCGAACCCTATACGCCATTAAACATACCTACATTATATAAATTATAACTACTAAACCAACCTAAAACACCTCGGCGTTAGCATATATGTAAGTACTGATAGACTACGACCCCATTGCACTATAAGTAGCAAGTCTCTACGCCTATTTGTTTATCTGTGTGCTCTTAGTCTGTTGGCCGCCCAGCCGCACGGCAAGGCTTTCGTCGGTGTGGTCCGTCAGTGACCTATAAATATGTCAACTGTCTTGTAAAGGAAACGAATTCCCAACGTAGTTGCCACCGAAAGATACACGACATTAAATCATGTCACGTAGGCTGTGTGAGGTGGTGCGGCTGCGTGTATGCGAGGGGCGCGATAAGGTGCGTGCGTGTAGTGTAGTGCATGTAGGTGTACAAGAGCTAATAATGGGAGAGTGTACAACGGAAAAACGAAAAATGGTGCTTATTCACGAACATGTTTAATTCTACTTTGCCTGCGAGTCTAGATAATTTTATGGTATGCAGTAAGTAGAACGTGCTTTGTCTCTAAAAACAGACCAACGCTTGTCAATACGATACTCCTATGTGAGTATCAATTGGCTGCGTACACTTCCTCCACCAGGCGTCACGTGCGCCTCGAATCCACATCAGTACAGCAACCTAAGCTGGTTAACAACAGAGTAGATCGCGTTCCTAGGCCAGCAGGCTGGAATAAGCATCGAACCAGATATATAATTAAAAATACTCACACGCTGTACTTCGCTTACAGACACATACCACTTTATCATGTTAAATAACTAACAGATTAATGCTCTATCGCTCCGCTCGAAAACTTTTGGCCGCTCTAATGATCGAATTTTACACAGTTGCCTGCTACATTTCAAACATAAATATGACAAGCGTCTTCTGTGACTATCGCACCTGACGGAATGTCACGGAAATATCACAACAAGACCAAATTTTACTCTTAATTGCTTTCTAGACGTCCACGCAGGCATCTAACTTGGCCGCTGCATAATGCAAATATGCCATCTGAGTGCTGAATTCGGCGAAAAAACATGCCAAAAAAAAGGCATTTCTAGAGACGCAAAATCGAGTGCAACTGTCGTGTTATACGCCACCTAAAACGCCCCCTAAAGCATTTTGGTTATCGATTTCCGTCACCGCTTTGGAGCGCTAAATAATTGATAAGTCACATGCCCCAATTTTGTCTCTCGTTACTACACCATATAGTAACTGAGCTGCCGTTGTAGAAACTTCCATTAAGAAATACATTTGGCCGGCTCCATCATGACGGGCATTAGCACCGTGCTAAGGAAAGAATGGAGATAAGGCATCAGGCGATGCACTCCGAAAAGTGCACCCTATGATAACCGAAACGCCGGTTTCACTTCATAAAGTTATGAGGCGGAAAAACCGAACTTTCGCTGGAAAGGCAACGCTTAAGGGCGTGTAGGTTAGTGACCTACGGGGTACGAGGCGGCTTGAGGCATGTGGGAAGGGAGGTTTAAGGAGCAAATATCTAAGCCTAGCGATATCGGTATTGACAAGCGTTGCTCTTGTTTTAGAAGAGGCAAAAGAATTATGCTTAACACATCAGCAAATACCATAAAATTATTCTAGACTCTCACGCAAAGTAGAATAATCATGTCGTGAAATAGCACTATTTTCCCGTTTTTCCGTTGTACACTCTAGGTATTATTAGCTCTTGATTGAGTGAATGTAGGTGTGATGAATGCGTGCATGAGGTTCTGTGCGTGTCTGCACGCGTGATGTGTATGTGTTCCTCTGAGTCTGCATATGAGTGTGTACACAGGCACTTGGAACGTTTCAACAACAAAAAGTGGTAAATATACACGAAATGTATTTACTACCAAAGTCTTAATGTTTATCTACTCTCTTTCGCCTATTATTGCGGATAGCTTCCTGTAAAATAAATTCCGTTCAAATGCTCCTCTTCAACACTCCGCACGCACGTCGTTGTGCACAAACAACAAAAATAAAGAGAACAACAACAATAACAAGAATAAAGAGAACAACAACAACAACAACAACAACAACAGCAACAACAACAACAACAACAACAACAACGAGAACTTTATATTCCTGTTGTTTGTGCACAGCGGCGTGCGTACGGTGTACTTATGTGTTGCAGAGGAGTATTTGAACGGCATTTACAGGAAGTTATCGGCAATAATAGGCAAAATTGAGTTGAGAAACATTAAGACTTTGGTAGTAAATACATTTCGTGTTTATTTACCATGTTTTTTTATTGAACCGTTCCAAGTGCCTGTGAGTGTGCAC